TTCCTTTCAGTTCCCATGCACTTGTTGTGGCTAATATTTTTCAAAGAATTTCTTATTTATTTTCTTGCATTTTAGCAATAATAATTGCCCAATCCATGAGAATTGATTTTAAGTACATTTACTATGTAATGCCATGTAATTATATGCAATTTTGTATTGTTATATCAGCAAGTGTGTGGATTTTTGCAACATTTTATGAACAGCAAAAAATTTTACCAACAGGTGTGAGCCATTTTGGCAGACTAGACTTTCTGTCTACGATTTAGGAAAGTGATATTTGGGGCGGCATTGCATGTGAAACTGATAGGAAAAAAGATTTGATGCTCTTGATTTTAGTAACGTCCTGGAGCAGCTGGAAGGAAGAGGATGTCGGGTTAACGGACTGTATTAAAACAGAAATGTGGGCTAGCTCTATTCCTTCTCGTTTCATTAGATTAAAAAAAAATCAATTTTGCCCATAGCTCTACGTGACACTAATCGTCACTTACAGGTCTATTCTGCGCTGTTAACAAAAAATTTTGTAACCGGTAAATAAAGTTTCTGTCAATTTTTGAACCCTTTTCGCATTCTGCGCACTTTTGTAACCGATAAATTTTGTTACCGTCTCATAAACTGGTAACAAAGCTTTGTCCCGTGAAATATGCAATATCAGAATTTCTACAAATCTCCATAGCTGAATTGCTGAATACATATATGACTGCATAAGCAACTACAATCGAGGTGACAAGAAGTGATAACATTTTTTTGTTAAAAAATTTTCCGGTTACAAAATCATCGGTAACGTGCAGAATATAACCTGTTAGTATGATCTTATCTCTTATATCTTATTCTGGCACGAAAGTCTTACAAAAAAAGCTCCCTTGCCAACTTTCGTGGTGAAAAGCTCTTTTGACAGAAATCACTTGAACATGTTGCAAATGGTGATGTACATATGTACATATATCATTAAATATTTTTCCATTGTGGGTTCGAAGGTCATGAGGTCGCCGACGAAATGGCACGAGAATGATCGCTAACTGACTTTTCGGCACCTAAACCATTCTGTGGTCTCAGTTGGTCCTCTTCGGGAGCCATAATTACTGAGTGGATATACTCTGAACGCAGTAAGTACTGGGGAGCGGTGGGGGGGGGCCATAGACAGGCCAGGCTGTTATTATTTTCGAAAAAAGAAATGGCATCAGGCTACTTTCTGGGACCCTAGCTGGTCACAACCGATTGCGATTCCACTTGCGCTGAATAGGTGTGACCATAAAGTCAAAATGCCAGCTCTGCGTTACAGATGAAACTTCAGAGCATATTCTACGTTACTGTCTGGCGCTGGCTAAACAAAGATTAATCCATTTAAAGCTTCAATGTTTGAACCGTTTGTCATAAATAATTTGCCTACCAAGGCCCTTTTATGATTCATTCGGCAAGCCGAAGGTATCTCTGCAACGCTGGGTTAGGGACTCTCTCTTTAAGAGATACAAAAGATCTTTTAGGTCGTGGTGCCTCTTGTTCTGTTACACCCAAGAACTAACTAACTAATTTTCATTTAATTTTGTTATGGCTTTTAGATTTTATTGTTTTAAAAATAACAATATTTCCTTAATTTTTTTGTTTAATTATTTTCTTTTTAAATTTAACTTTCTTATGATTTTTGTATTTTATTGTTTTAGAATGAACAATTTTTTTTTAAATTTAATTTAATCTTTAGAAACTTACTCATTTTTTTTTATTAAATTACTTTTTTTAAATTTAATTTGCTTATAACTTTTAGTTTTATTGCCTTAAAAAGAAAATTCGATTTCTTTTAATTTTGAGAACCCTTTTTATTATTTTTTCTTTTTTAATTTTATTTTCCTTTTAATTTTTAGATTTTATTGTTCTTAAAAGAAAAATATTCTTTCATTTTAATTTTTTAAATTGAATTTGTTTTCTTTCTTAACTAAATTGTTTGCCAAATATGTTAGCAAAATAATTGTTAAATTTAATTTTTATAATTTTCAAAAATTGCGAAAATTCTTTTTGCATCAAACCAGTTTAGATTGCATCGAAAAAATTAATAAATACGTATTTTACTCGACTTTTTAAAGAGGAAGCCACCCTTTCCTAAAATTTCTTCTCCCTTTTGACACTCATCGTTTACGTGTAATAGTTGAAAAATTTATGTGCAATTAAAATAAATTTGAATTTTATAATGGATGGCAACCCTAATAAAAATATATATTTAAGCCACAGCTTCCTTAAGACTCTTTCTTTTGACCACAATATTGAAATATTTCACATAGATTGTGAATAATTTTTCAAATTCGGCTTTTGAAACAGTTGTAAACTCCCTTCAACAATATATTCAAACCAAAACTTTCTTAAACCTCTTTCGGCTGACACCCAAATTGTGATGCATGCATATTTCAATTAACTTATGAATAAAGTTGTATTTGAATTTATTAACAGGTGGCAGCCCGCCTACATATATTTTAGAACAAAAGCCTTTTCATGCCAATTTCGATTGTTACAGACCTTTTATTAATTCATTTAACTTATTAAATAATTTGAATTTAACTTAATTCAAAAACCTATAAAATCTTCTAAATGTACGAAAGTGTTATCTTTCGTTTGACCACCATATTGTAATATTTCATACAAGTTGTATATAATTTAATTTAATCCGACTTTTAAAACAGGTGGCTAATTATGTCCAAACTATTATAAAATGAAAACCTCTGTTGTCTGACACCCATATTGTTATACATACTTTAATTACCTTGTCCTTGTATTCGTTTTACAATTTGTATTCGCCTTGGTTTTCATACTTGGCTTTGTCGTAATACTCGTATTAGTCTTCTTATTGCATTCGTCTCTCTAATTGCCTTCGTATTCGTGATTATATTCGCCTTCGCCTTCGTGTTCGTCTTCGTTTTGGTGTTTGTCGTCCTATTCGTATTCATCTTGCATTGGCGTTCGTTTACGTCTTCGAAGCAAAAAAAAAAAAATCAAAAACCCAACCAATTTGGAAACCATAGCCACTCGTCTCGTCGTTTGCAGATTTTTCTGTACGTTTCAAATTGTGTTTTTATTTTCCAAATCGCCAAACGAAGACGGACAAAATTCATGTTGTTCTATTAATATATAAATGTCATCGACATTCGTTCCAACGCGACTTTATTGGAAATCTGGCTGAACTGACCTTAATGAGAACGACGAATTGCTATCACTTTCAGGAGAAAGGGGGGAAATAATATTACGGGCCCATGACGGCCTAAGTGTGCCTGCTTCGAACTTTGGATGAGGGCAATCACGTTAACCTAGCCCAACCTGGCTAGGCAGAATTTGGCACTGATTTAGTTACATACTGACCAGATCTAGAAATTCGTTTGGCATATTTTTTGGGTGCTCTCTTTCAATAGAATGCGAGGCTTGTTTTTCATATTCTAGCCATCTGAAGGTAATCATTGAGGTACTAAATATCTAAGGTTCGATGATATTCTTACCATGACCCGCTCAACGCTTTTGTTTGAATAGTCGTGATGTTTGGCTTCGTTGTATTGGGGACACGAATCAGCTGGGTAGAGGTTATGCCATTTTTACGAGGTAGGTCCCGAGCGAACTACGCAGCTCATCCTGTTTGTGCATCACTAGTTAGATTCTTGCAACATATAATTAATAAATAAACACATTTCCTTATTTCAATGTCCAGTTGACCTGTTGACCTTGCAGAACGGTCTCATCTATATACAGTATCGGTCATATCTATAGCACGCCATTTCAAAGTGATATTGTGTGCCACTTATGTTTATTTATTTATTTTTAAGAATTTTCAATTAAAATTTAGTTCATTCTCAGACAAACCCCATATATACCCAAGTTTAACAACTTGTAGAAAACTTCAAAAAAGTGCAATAAAATTTCATTAAAATTTCAAACTTTTTTCTCGGAAGTGTTAGAATTTTTTTGAGTACACAGTTTTTAGCTCCTACAATTTTAGTCCAATAATGTGCAAATTTCAAGTGGCTACGAATTACCGTTAATTTTTTAGAATTTTTTTTGTCGCATTGGCTTCCATATAATGAATAAACTCAATTTATTTGTATATGGAAAAAACCGCAACACCTTTGGCGAAAAAAATTCTAAAAAATCAACGGTCACCTTTAGCCACTTGAAACTTGCACATTGGCAGACTAAAATTGATTGGGCTATAAAACTGTGTATTCAGAAAAATTCTAACACTTCCGAGAAAAAAGTTTGAAATTTATATGAAAATTTGTTGCACTTTTTTGTAGTGTTCTACAAATTGTTAAACTTGGATTTATATGGGTTTTGTTAGAGAAGGAACTATATTTTAATTGAAAATTCTTAAAAATAAATAAATAAACATAAGTGGCACACAATATCACTTTGAAATGGCGTGCTATAGATATGACAGATACTGTACATATGTACATACATACGCACCATGGCTTAACTACAAATTTGCTTATACTACATTATTTAAAAGAAGAGTACAAATGTTTGACATATAAAATAATACACATAATACGATTTTGACACTATAATTTGCAAACACAAAAGCCACAAAAATTCAAAAGAAATCGAAAGTATGAGGAAGAAGCCAAGGAATACATATTTTCCACAAGCCACAAATTGCTTGGTAAAAAGTTGAAACGATCGACACAATTGCAAAGCGGTAGCACTTAAAGGCCTATTACAAATTGAAAGCAACAACATGCAACAAGCAAAGTATTACAAAAGGAATCCACAACAATGGATTTGCAGAAGCAACATTACAAATATTACAATAATACATAATAACAGGCGATTGGTAAGAAATAAATACATACATACCTGTATGTAGATATTCACTATGCGCAAAAAAAAAACCTCTGCGGCAGCATGAAAACAATTAAACGTTTTGACCGCAAGCCAATTAAAGCCGGTGTCCCCAGCAAAACCCACAAGAAGAGAAATACGATCAGGAGCAAACGATCGGCGATTGAGAAAGACAACAACAAAAGGAAAAGATACAAAGCGAGAAGCGTCAACGAATCAGAAACACGGATTGCTTGGCCAGCACCAGGTCAGGTGAGGACAGGTAAGCCAGGAGAATACGAATTTCAGCCAATCAAACCATTTTTACACAGCGCATCCTTAAGGCCGCTGCCACGACGGATGCGCATAAATAGCACACACAGCAACCGAAACGAACACAGTTCTTATTCGTCGTCAAAGTTGTGTAGAGCAGCTAACAAAGCAAAAATAAACAAAAAAAAAAAGCAAATCGAAATGTTAACCAGTGAATATTGTGACACCGACTACTCGTGTTACTCGGCCACGATGCGCCTGTTTGACGGCCACTCGGAAGCAAGTGAAAATTACACAAAAGTGCTCAGTGATAATATGGAGGAGCTTGCGGCTTTGTATGGCATGGCATTCAGTAGCGATAGTCCAGCATTATCATCATCATCGTCAGCCTCTTTGTCATCATCGTCATCGCCACCAGCGTCATCTTTAGAAAATCCACCGGAAATAGTCGACTACGACAACGATTTCCTGAGAGACTTCAAATTCGAACACACAATCGAGAGCACGCAACGTGTATCTGGCATTAAAGAAAATCATAAATTTTGGCCATCCTCCAAATTGCAAAGTGCATTGACGTCCGCGCAACCATTTAGCGAATGTTGGACATCATCACCGTCGGCAGAAGGATCAGAAAAACGAAAAATGCTGGGTAGAACGACGTTTAGAATTGATGCTTCGATGCCACCAAGTCAGCGCCATCTCAACAAAATGTCCGCCATTTCGGCGAATGCGTCTAACTGCGCCACACCGGATGTCCAGCGAAAGCGCCGCCTTGCCGCGAATGCACGCGAACGACGACGCATGAATAGCTTGAATGATGCTTTCGATAAGCTACGCGATGTTGTTCCTTCGCTGGGTAATGATCGGCGCCTCTCGAAATATGAAACGCTGCAAATGGCTCAAGCGTATATTGGCGACTTGGTTAAGCTATTGACGCGAGATTATTAAATTTTTATTTTTTTGTGGGGTAGGGGGAAGCGGGGTTGTTATTTGTAAATTGTAAAAGGTAGAATAATTAGATTTTAATTATAGGATTAGTTTGTTAACTTATTTTAATATTGAAAAAATAAATAAAAAATCAAAAAATATATGTAAATATGCATAAACAATACAAAAAAAAAAACACTTTAGATTTCGGATTTCACCTGCGACAGCCGTGGCCGAGTGGTAAAAGGCACTATTGCCCAGTACGAACCAAGTTAAATACCTGATCAAACTTCGTTGTGGACTTCGGGCATTAAAAGTGTGTTGTTTGATGGCAGCGTAAAATTGTAGGTGCCTTCAATTGTTTGTAAGTATCATGGCGCACACCACAAATTGGAGGGGAACATCGGCTTATTAGGTAGGTAGATATATCCTATCTTCTTGGGGAGTATACACTCCGCGACCGCGACCGCTTCCGATCCCACGTCTGCCTGGGAATTCAAGAAGTCGTACTTTGACTCCAACTTTCTTCAGCTTGTTTGTATATAAATTCTCTAGGTAGCAGCTTGCAGGTGGCATATGCCATACCAATGCGTTCTTTATTAGGAAGAATCTGCTTGGTCGTGCCTTGCCTTGCATGTTCTTCTGCCATGCAGTTTTCCTCTATCACCAAAGTGAGGCGAGGTATGTTTTGCTTGAGCGTTTCGTGTAGAGATAGGCGACAGTCCAGCACAACCTATGAGTAAAATGTGAAAGAGCTTAAAGCTTTGATTGCAGCCTGGCTAACACTAAAAATGAAGGCGTCTCTTCCCATAATTTCGGTTCCGAGCTTCTCAACAGCCTTCTTGACAGATTTTGATTTACACAGAAATTATATATATACAGTGATTCAAACGTGTTGGTTTCTTTAAAATATTCATGTTTTTCAAGTTAACCTTTTTTCATTATTTTTCTATAAAAATATTGTAAAAGGTGGCAAATGCCTAGCACCGTCAGCGAAAAAAAAAATTATTAAAAATCAACGTGATTTTCTAGTTTCAAAATTTGTACTTTGACATACAAAAATTTAATGGGCTATAAAACTGCATACCTAAAATTTTTTCAAAAGTTTGTAATAAAAAGTTTAAAAGTTTTGGGTTTAATTGTTAAAGTTTGTTGAATTTTTATAATTTTGTACGAAGTTCGAAATGTGGATTAAGGTATGTGCTGCTGGTTATGTAATGTGCCAGAATTTTATAAAAAAAATTAAGTTTTATTTTTTGAGCAAAAATTAAAAGTGAAAAATTAAAAAAATAACAATTATTATTCGAGCAATAAATAAAACTCGAAAAATGAATGAAATAAATTTTTTTGAATAAAACTTAAAAAATAAAAGTCAGGCGGGTTCAATTCCTGCTGAAGTCTAGAAAAAGAAGTCTGATGAGGAGATGTATGTGCAGAACTCCGAAATAGCAGCTATAACTTCTACTGCTTAGATTTGTTGTTTTTTTTTCATTTTTCCTAACAAACAAATCGTGGTACCTCCGAAGCCCAATAACATTTCTAAACACAAAATCATTGTCGCTGATGATAGTCTAAATAACAACAAATATGTTGATCTACTCCCTATACAACCAGCATTTCTCAGTCAGTGTGATTTTTCAAGTTAAGATTAAAAAAAAAAAATATTCGTTATTTGCGGTCGCCTAGTTTTTGCGACTCATCTAAAAGCGCACTTTAATGTAAGGATATAGAAGGATATCTCTTTATAGGCATTTTTAAGCATACTCACTTTGAAAGATCCATATTTCTACAAACATACATTCATCCGTCAAATGGCAATTGGGTGCGCGTGGGCGTGGCAGCAGAAGTCAAAACATCAAAACAGTGCGCGCGCGTATCCTTGAAGCCTTCTTAGATTTAGCGGAAGAGCCCAGAAAAAAATCTAAAAAAAAAAAACCCAAAAACATAAGATGAATGAGTAGCAAATTCCGACTTCCGATGTGTATAATACATAACAAATTGCTTCTTACTTGCGGCAATGCAACTCGTGAAAAGGACGATGCGTTTTGGTTTTTGCCCTTTTGCATTAGTTAGGCACACTCGTACATATGTACAGTATTACAAACATACCTCTAACTTATTTAAGAGCATGCGCAAAGGTAATCAGAGTTAATAATACTACTCATACTTAAGTGCATGTGGGCGTTATTTGAGGATTTGAAAATTGATTGCAAACAACAACGACAGCTTACTACCGGCAACGGTGGGTGTGCTCGTTGTCATAGACAGATAGATGGAGTGCAACAAATATTCACAAAGTGATGGATATACACTGAGATGAAAAACGAAAAAAGTTAAATATGTAGTCGTAGTGAATAAAATGTACAGAGTTTTAAATGCACGAGTAATTTTTATTAATATCACAATAGGTTGTCTAAGTTATTTCAAGATGAGATTTGTTTTTTTTTTGAATTTTTTCATACATGTAAACTTATACTGCATATGTACAACTTTTCATATTTATATATGCATAAATATTTATTAAGTACAATATAAAAAATTTAACTTATAATAATAATATTAAAATTTTAATTTTAAAATTTTACGTACACTAGCACACACATTTACAATATGACTTTTTTTATATGCTAATATTTAGGAAGTAATTTTAACGCTAACACTATACCTAAAACTAAATTTAATTCTAATCGTAGTATTTACAGTAATTTCAGTACTTTGGAAAGCGGAGAGGACAACTAAAATAAAGTACTTATGTCGAAGTTCCACTAGGCATTTAAATGACTTAAACTTTATGCTTTATAGCTGTTTCTCACTATGCCATATTTTGACGTGAAAATTTCTCGATACAATTTGACACAGCTTTCTTCTCTTTAATCCATGCCGTTACAGGAAATCTACACGATGTAAGATCTTTTCTGATGAACCGATTTGATGGATTTTAGTCTAATTTGGCAATGTATTCTCAGATGTTTGCCAACAAATAACATAAAATTCGACATAATGAAAAATTGGCAATTAAAATTTTTGGCAATTTAATGCTAAGTGGAAATTCGGCATTAAGGGCCTTAGTACGTCTCATATGTACTAGAGGGCCAGAGGAGGATATATATAATTTTTTTTTTTAATATGAGACAGAAGGATCTATAAAAAAATAAATGCGGTCTTTTACTAAAAAGTTCATTGCACCTACATATGTGACGCTATATATTTTATTAAAAGAATTTTAAAAGGGCGTCCCTCGGGCTATTAATGTTTCGATTCTAGTAACTTTTTTTGAAATGTCAGTTACGCTCTTCTGGTCTTCATGGCCTCACATTAGACTGGTTGAAAAATATCGAATATTTATTTTAATATTTAGTGGTCGCTCATCACGAATTTCCATTTTCCATGTACGTACATACATTCATAAATAACAAAAGACAATTTCGAGCCTTAACCGCCAAAATAACGTAAGCGACATTTTTCTCAAAATTTTATTTTTGATGCAGAAATATTCCTAGAGCATCTATGTAGATGCATTTCTGCATCAAAAATAAAATTTCGAAAAAAATGTCGCTTACGTTATTTTGGCGGTTAGGGCTCGATTTTTTTTCTATTTTGAAAATTTATAACGCGTTTTTAAATGAACTTATCGCAATGAGAGAAACATAAAATTTTGAAAAAAATGTAAAAAGAAAATTTTTGACTATTATTTTTTTTTTTTAATATTTAATTGTAATTATGGTTTCATAAAAATATAGTATATTCTTTAACAAAAACCGTGGCACATTCAATTTTAGAGCAAGTTTGATGGGATGACTTTAGGTTTGCCAACAGTACTATAATATATAGTATTGTACTATTTTTTCAGTTGGCGTGCTACAGTTGTCCACAACATAATAGGAGTGCGATATTTTGGCCAGTTATGGCTATTTGTCTTTTGTTTGTTTAATGTTTATTATCTTATTTTACATTTCAAAGTTTGTATAAAATAACAAAAATTCTTGAAATTTTCCAAAAACCAAAATTTCAAACTTTTTAATCAGAATCTTTAGAAAACACGTATGCAGTTTTGTAGCCCATTTAATTTCAAGTTGGTAAAATGTTTCGTTGAATTATTTTTGGTTGAAGGTGTTTCACGTTTTTTCCATACAAAGTATGTTCGACAATTTTTTTATATATGTCCCCCACTGCCAGCAAAAAAAAAATCGCCAAAAATCAGCGAAATTTTTTAGCAGCTTCAAACTTGCACTTCATTAGACTATAATCAAATGGGCTACAAAACTGCATACCAAAATTTTTTCTGAAAATTCTGATTAAAAAGTTTGAAATTTTGGTTAAAATTGGCATTTTTTTTATAATTTTTGTACAAAAATTGAAATCTCAATTTATTCGGTGTTTGTTGTATACCTAGCTTGACTTTTATAATAAAATAATAAACCTTAAATAAATAAAAAAAAGACAAATAGCCGAAACTGATCAAAATATCGCACTCCTATTCTTTTATGGACCACTGTATATACTGTTGGAAAAAATATAGCATTCCAAAATACCATATTTCTTCAGCTATTTATTTGTTGAAATAAATCTATGATAAATTTTAAAATTTAATAGTTAGTTACAGCGCTAGCTGCTAGGGCTACTGGCTGAATATATTTCAATAATTTGCAAGTAAAAATTTGTATTCTAAAATAATAGTTTTAAATGAAATATTGTTTCAAATAAAAGGTCTATGAATAGAACAAAAGATCAAAAACACTGAGAATGGGTTACCAAATTTACTTAAATTTATTTAATTTTAAATCTATTTCTGCAACTTCGGATTCACAGAAAGAGTATTTTCTATTATGAATGTGAAATGACCGTATGAGAGAAAAAAGCGACCACCTCACTAATAAAAAATTAACTTTGGATTTATATTAATTAAAATTTTCATTTATATTTTTATAAAATAAATGCATAATAAATCAAAAAGATGTATACATAAAAAGCGATGTTTGTCAATTTATTTAAAATTAAGTGCTGCGCTTTTGAAAGGCATCTTTTTTCAATGTCCCGAAAATATTACCCAACGGATTTTGAAAAAAAAGTAATAGTCGATTCGTTTGAACCAGTCTAATGTACAAGCATAAGCATTTGAAATGCTTCATAAATATTTT